CCTATCACTTCCTGAACAAGTGCCTTGCTGACGACTTTTGTTTGAACCACAACGCTGTAAATGCTGATTGGTTGATTGATGAAGATTAAGCCACCCAAAAGGTGGCACGGGCATGAATAGCCCGTAAGTGGTGGCCCTTTGGAGTCATTACCAGTATCATTAGCTGATACTGAGAGATCTGTGGAGGTGCGACTGCACCCTGCGGAGAGGTCGTGGCCTCTGTGTAAATGCTTCACCCACGTACTATAAATACAGATAATCGCCAACAGAACCTAAACATCTAACTTAACTAATGCCAAAATATGCCCAATATGCTAATATATAACAATGTTAATTTATCAATCACTTGAGAATGGTCCAGGACGGACCGAAAAGTCGTCGTCCCTTCACCTTCTAGTGTGTGGTCTGGTCAACTTACTTTAGCTACGTTATTGTGACTCATCGCCTGCAAATGTTAATTTATATTTGAGAAAATTCCTGTTCTGAATGAACAGCATGTTAAAATTGATGAATGCTTCTTTGGGGTCGATCAGTGGATGGAATTGACTGTCTGAGGACGGGTTGGCTGTTAGGCCTTTTCATATTTTATTTTCTAGCTGGAATATAATTGGATTTTTACTTCTGTATATTTTTTTATTTATGCTATATTTTCTTGGTAATTTCAATGGATATTGATTTACATAGATTTTGAACTATTTAGTTATGAGCGTAATAAGTTAGAGCGTAATAAGCTTCCCAAACTTAACCAACTTTCCCAAACTTAGTAAGTTTTCCCAAGTTTAGCAAGCTTTTTAAATGTCAGTAAGTTTTTTTCATCGGTTTAATGAGCAAACTTTTATAAAGCTAAAACTCAAATAAGCTGTAAGTTATAAGCTTAACACAATTTCTCAAGCTTTCATAATCCTAATAAGCTTCATAAGCCCAATACTTAATACAATAAATAAGTTTCAGAAAGCTTTTTTAAACTTATCAAAGGCTTACTAAGCTTGGGAATACTTATAGCTTTGGGAAAGCTTATTTAGTTTATGAAAGCTTGCAAGGCTTGGGAAATATTAAATTTATGAAAGCTTACTAAAGTTGGGTTGCTTGAGGCCAGAGGATGATTGAGGGGGAGAGTTAGGTTTCACACAGATGGGGAATCTAACAATGAGAAACAAAACTCATCTGGAGACAACTCTAATTGGTCACGTCACTCTTGGGGAAAAGAATGGACAAGACCAGACAGAGATGTCGTTACGTCAGGGGTCAGAGACAGGCAGTAGCAGAGAATTAAAAATAAAAGGTGATATGAGACAGTTGGGAAAGCTAATTGGAGTCTCACACCATTATCCTTAAAGGAATGTACCAAAGATACTCTATGAGACACACAAACACCCACGTTAACAAAAATAATAATCCCACATAACAGTTTATGACTGATATTGATCTCTGCTAACTTTATGTCTAGTCATACTGGCTTAATGCCTTCTGATAATTACCTTACCTGTATGGTCTTCTGCCCACTGCAACCCATTCTCAGGACAACTTCATTCCATCCAGCGGTCGAACCCAAAGACACATTCATAAATTTTAATATGCTGTTCATTCAAAATAGGAATTTTCTCAAAATAGGTTAAGGTGTCAATATGGGCGTGATCAAGCATAAGCTAAGCCCAAACTTCGCTTGGCCTCATTCTGTTTCTTGATGTGATGGTCACAATATTCCTTATAAAAAAACATAATGAAACCATGAAAGAAAGATCTCCTGTGTAACCCACGTATTCTTTGAGCTATAATATTTCACAGATTGTTCAAACAATGATTTAATGCTATTGCTTTTTAGATTTACTAAACAATTGCACACATGGTCATGTGTGTGACACCTGCTGTGTTTCACATCATTGCCAACAGCCTGTCCTCATTCACTTTATGCCCTGGCACACTTGCCTCACTCCTCGGAGCTAGCTTTTTCAGGCAATCTCCTTCAGTACCGACTGTTTCATCATCATTATAGATTTGATGCCGATATAGATTGTTAGCAAAAAGGAACATTCTAAATTAATTTTTGAATGGCTCAGCCCTGCTCATATCTGTACTCAATTTTTCACCTATAATCTTCCTCTTGATCAAAAACACACACGTCATATTAACGTAATATATATCAATGAGAAAATCCACTGGGACTATAGGTAGGCACAAACCTATGACCCGGAATTGCAGTAGCATACTCTACTCGACCACTAGACCACCGCTAACTTGTAAAAGTCATACAACTGGTTTCCTACTGAAATCACAAAGTCTGGAGGCCCCTACTGAAGCCAGTACAAGTTTCTACGTATGACCCACAAGCACTTGGGTGAAAGGTTCGCACCCACCTATAGTCAGAGTGAATTTTCTCATCGATATACAGTATATATTACGTTAATGTGATTTGTGTGTTTCTGAAGTTGGGACGTAAGGTGTAGGACCACTTTGCCCTTCCACCCGAGTGCTTGTGGGTAAAATAAAAATAGATAAAAGGACTGGCTTCAGTAGGAGCTTCCAGACATCACCACTGGGTGATGCTGTGCAAACCATTTATACACATCCTCAACCAATTGTGCATTTTATGAAGGCTTCAAGGCTTTTCTATTACAACTTCTGCTAGTGCTTGTTCCCTCAACTCTCACCAGTAGTTATTTATTGTATGTATATATAATGTTAACATTTTCTTACATCAGAATTGGTACTTGTGCCTAGAACAAAATCCTTGCAGACACAGCGGAGCAGCCATTTTTCTCAAAATTTAACCACTCGTAGCTTATCTTTACTGGATAGCATAAATTGCTTTCTTTTAACTGCTCCAAGCCAACTGCTGCTGCTACCAGACATGGTCTTAGCAAAAAAAAAAATTCTATTACAGCAAACACAAAGAAAATCTTTCAGTACCAGAGCAGCACTGTAGAACCATGCAAGGGAAGAGATCACATGGTTACGAAAGTTGACTAGGAAAGTTTTAATGTGTTATGGGCATAAGTCACCACATTTTTTTCACCAATCAATGACAAAATTGTGGTAACCCAAATTGGCTACGAGTTACAAAGTAAAACATTGGTACTTAAATACATTTAGTTTCTCATTCTGTATATCACAAAAATACAAATCCTCATTTGGGTTAAAAGGCCCAAAAAGGGTAAAAAACACAAGTGTGAATTCTGACGAATTACTCCAAGATTTGGGTTACTGGAATCCGAAGTATCAAGCTCTTACGGTATATTCAGAAATGTGTTTCTCATATACAGTACTGTACACTCAAAACCAATTTTTTGGGCAATATAAACAAAATTAAATACCATTTCATATTTATTTACAGTGAAATAGCTAGGAATGGGTGCTTACAGAATATTTCTTATGGAGTGCAAACTGCCATCTATTGGTGAGGGGAAGCAGAGGGCCAAAGAGAGAAGACGACGACTCGTGTCACCACTAACAGCGTCTAGTTTTTAATGTTTTACTGCACTTACATAATTTATCGTGCAAAGATTGTATTTCTAACATATTTTTTCTTTATACATAATGAAATAACTTAACGAGTTTGCTTAGTACAATTTTTAATGTGTGGAGGTTAAGTGGAAAAATTTGGTCGAGTACATTAGCTCTCAAGACATTACTCCCATTCACTCGTGCAATTATTCCCACTTGTTAAGTTAATTAATAAAAGATTATTTTGTATAATAATGAATCTATCAATATTAAAAAGAATTAATCAATGTAAATATAACAAACTTCTTGGGTAAATCAAATAACATTTGAAAAGCCATGTCATGTTAAGCTTGCATGAAGGGGTAACACTTACCAAGAATTATACAATATCTGAAATTGATTTACGATTGGCTTAAACCCAACCATTTTGGATGCTAAACTGTACAATATTTACCAAATACAGTGGAACCTCGGGTTACGAGCGTCCCTATTTACGAGTTTTTCGGGTTACAAGCTCGATTTGTTTGGAAAATTTGCATCGGGATACGAGCATTGCATCTGGTTACGAGTTTGTTGATATGCGTACGGGCTGACCTAGCGCATGGTGGCACAGCGATCGCACCTCAATTTACCAGTGCCTCACGCCCAGTGACTATCCCACCTGAATTCTTTACAAGGATTTACAGTTTTTTTTCGTATTTTTGGCCATTTGAGCACAAAAGTTGTTATTATATATCTCGCTATGGGTCCCAAGAAAGCCAGTGGTTAGGTTCAACCTAAGAAAATAGTTGTGAGCAGAGACAGTAGAGGATGTCCCTTCCTCATTAAGAAAATGTGTGAAATATGGGAAGAACTGCAAAGTTTTGTTGAAAAAACTCACCCAGATAAAGCTGTAGCAGGTCGTTGCACTGACCTTTTAAATGACAAGGTGATGTCTTACTACAGACAAGTGTTGCAAAGAAGGGGAAAAACAATCTTCAATGGATCGTTTCGTTGTGAGAAAATCAAGCAGTGAGCCACAACCAGGACCTAGTGGTATGCAGGCAAAATGTGCCAGAGTGCACTCCAGAAAAATCTTTACTGCTTGATGTTATAATGGAAAGGGAACTTCCCTTCAAAACAGTAACACCTCTCCTCCTCCCCCCTCCTCACCATCTTCCATACACCAACAGGAGTCATCAGCAAGGGTAAGTAATAACTTGAACATGCTTTTGCAGTGTAGATTTGGATGACTTAGGTATACAATTTAGTTTGAAGTGAAGTTTTTGGGTAGTTAGGAATGGATTAATTCATTTCCCATTATTTTTTACGAGGAAATTAGCTTCGGTTAACAAATTTTTGGGTTACAAGCCGTCTCCAGGAACGGATTAAATTCTTAAACTGAGGTACCCCTGTAATGGGAATAAGCAAATATAACTTACACTTGAATTAACAAAATATTGGTAAATATGGCATAAAAAAAATATGGACAGACATACAGAGGGGGTGGGTCAGATGGACAATAAGAAAACATTGTGAATTAAGTTGGTGTGAAATTACAAAATTTACTTTTACTTACATTAAGAACTTGATACTGGAGCAAGACTCGTCAATAGTAGCATATGAGCATCTAGTCAGCATAGCTACCTATATGCATGCTTTATACTTATTTCATACAATGTTCAATGTGCTAAAATTATGTTCTCTTAATTTTTAGAATGTTATAAGTTACTGCCAGAAATACTGTATATTCATATTCCATAAAAATGTAGCAATTGATGCAATTGCCTGCACTGATCCAAAGTATAAAATTATATATACACATAAATACATACATATACATATGCTGTATACAGTATATGCTTTTACAAATGTATATATGGCCCTTAGTAACACATACACTTATAAGGTCACCAAGAAATTATGTAGAGAATACTTTTTCAAAAAATACAATTTTTTTTTTTTTCCCTTAAAACCTTAATTGAGAAGCAAATTTTCACGAAGACCTTTCATTGGTCGCAATATTTTGCCGATGCAGGTAATGCTGACGATACTGCTTTTGAATTTCATAGAGAATAATACCTGCAGCAACACTTGTGTTTAAACTGTCCATACCATTGGCCACTGGAACTGCGATTTGAATACCTCCATTACAATACGAGAATTTCTTGGCAGCATTGCTGAGGCCAGTCTCCCCACCAATAATAATACAGGCACCGAGTCTCATGCCGTTGATCATCCGAGTAATTTCTGGTTCGTCATAATAATGGACAGGAAGTTTCACATTTTTATAATTAGAAAGATGTTCTTCATCAACATAACTCGAATCAATAATAAATTTGCTTCCGTCACTGTCCATTTCATATGAGCTTACCATTTCATCATCATAAACTACAGACTCTTGTTTTTTAGTCGACGGTTCAACTGCCAAGTCTTGTTGTTGCTGTACATTTTCACTCTCACTTATAGTATTAAGATCTTTTTGGTCTCGACACACATCAGCTAACAAGAGTGGAGTACTGTCAGGAATATAACTCTTCATGATGTCCCAGGTTACTTTGCATGTTAGCTTCAGCCGAAAATGTGCTCCACATGCTGCTCGCAAAACCTTGGATTCCCATGGATCACAGCATCCTAGAAAAAAAACAAAATTATATGACTTGCACCACAGAATTCAAGTGCAAGCTTGTATTTTTCATACTACATTATACTGTACCATAAAATGGGCATGGATAACTGTACACCCTCATATAAATATTATTATGTGAAGGTATATTCAGCAATGTTTTAGTACAATAATTGCAGTATAATAACTGGTGTTGCACATGTTATGATGCTGCATCAAGACAACTGCTATAATTAAATTAAACTATAAAACATTCAATACATAAACTGTGGTTTATAAACACTTGCTATTTAAAAATCTTTTTCACAAGAAATAGGTAGTCCAAGAGCAAAGCCGTACATCTAATTTTAGAGTGACTTCAGCAAATATACAAAGTTGAATGTAATAAAATACTTCTTTCTCTGTAACCCATTCCACCACCGCCCACAGGATGGGTATGGGGTGCATAATAAAGAAAAACTTAAAATTCTCATTGGGCCTCAGTGGCTCCCTGGTCCTTTCCCCATCCCTTCCCTATCCAGGTTCATTGGTGGGTGGTATTCAGCTTCATTGTTATTTTCCATGCACATTCAGCCGATTCCATACAGAAGGCCTATGTCTCCGTCCAAAAAGAGGTGGAAGGTGAAGCATCGGCCCAGAGAGGACATGGAACCATTAAAGAAAGAGTTGCCTTAAGATTTAGTAAATGGCACTTGCCAATCCACCATATTTTAAACACTGATGAGGCAAATAAAACAATTACGAAATACAGCAGAGAGAAAAGAATGCAACAGAAGTGGATCATTTGTCTGAAAGCATCACAAAATGGTTGTGTGCAAGATGATGGAAAATATTTCTCATTGTAGCTTCATTCAGTATATAAATAAATGTGTGATTAGCTGATGTAAGAACTATGGTATAGAAGAATTAGTTTACCAAGTGAAGTGGTCAAAGAGTTTGGCAATAACAACTAGAAGAGTACAAAAAATTCCTAAGAATTTAGCTGGTGATAAACAAAGTGACTTTCATAATGAAAGCAGTATCATGGATCATATAATTGTACCTAGACAGCTATTAGAAAAAACATACAAGAAAGATTATGAGGTGGTTATGGCATATATGGACTTGGTGAAAGCATATAAAAAAGTGAAAAACATAAGGGTACCTGAAGAGTATTGAGCATTCACTGAGTTTGATAAAGGTTATAAAATGCTTTGAAAAACTTTTATGCAAAGAGTATTATATGAATGAGAGCTAATGGAGTATTTAATGAAAGCTTTGAAATCAATGCAAGAGTATGCAATGGTTGTGATGTCACCATGATAGCCCAATGAGATTGGGCTCAATCATGAGATATATTTATTTATTTATAAATAAACTGTCAAAACTGTCACAGTTTACTCATTTTGCACAAACTGTCAAATATAATCTCTTGCATACCTTTTGTAAGAATTACATGATCAACTCCAACTGATGCGACTGTACGTAGAATTCCACCTATGTTTCCAGGTTCTCGGATTTCATCAAGGATTACAGTTAATGGAAGATTCTGGGAAGTATGATGAATTTGTTTACATTCTGGTTGCTTGAAAACACCTGCAATGTACACACCAAATAATAAACAATTAACAAATATTATAACATAAGAAATGTATTTGGTTATGCCTCTCACTATATAAATACATGCAATGGTCATTCATTTGTAATTCAATGGAAGAGAAGCTACGAGAGTTGGGATCACAAGTGAAACGTTACAACGAAAGTGTAGGACAACACTCTAGCTTCTAAATTTAATTAGAGCAATTAATGTTACATACAAATTGGTATGGTTAGAGCATGCCAATTTTCTTTGAACAAATAAATAACGTACATGCCTAAGGCACGTATGTTATTTACTTTTGACTTCCTTGTTTGCTTTCAAGTGCTTCATGTGGTTATTTTCTTGAGCTCATTTTTTTGCAGTGTGTATGGAGATTCATAGGCTGTTTGCCTTGGTCTAAGGTCTAATCTGATCTGTGCATTTGTGGTTCTGGGCTTGGGGTAGGTTGGTTTGCCTTGGCCTTTGGAACATATTGGAACAGCTGTTCTAGGGATAGCCAACACTACTTAGCTGGAAATAGCAGTCACTCAATGGTCCCCAGCAGAGTGATGTGTCTATGACAACACTAGGTATGTGAAATAGGCTGCCGTTCAGGACCCCTGTATAACCTGAACCATATTCCAATTGTGGGTCCGCACATCCTTAAGGTTGCTTGCCGACCCCACAGAAATGATTATTTCCCTTTTTGCCTCGGCTCCTTTCAGCTCCTTTCTGCCAAGCCGTAGCTTTTGTTTTATTTTGTCCAACCTTTCTAGGTAGGATTTTTCTTGGTTTTGCATCGATTTTTTGACTCCTAAGCCTCTTTTGCCTTATAGAAAATGACAATTTTGGTCCTGGAGTCTCGTAGACTTTGTGTGCTTCTTAAAGCTTGGCTATACTACCACATAAGCTTGGAAAGCTATTATGAAGGCCCTCCAAAATAGCATTTAGAAGGTAACACTCAACCTAAATGCCATAGGTTGCTCGCAAAAGGGTAAAATTTAATATGATCCAGTGGTCAAACACAGAAAACTTAATATTACAATCTCCACAACTTATGGGTTAGGGGACTAAGAATGAATAAAGCAATAATGACTTTAATAATGTGCATCTTCAAGTATTTAGTATTTGCCTAAGTTTGTCTATGTAAACCACTATTAAGTTACAAAATACTGTGTATCAAGTGGGATTTAAAAAATAGGTATTCCACCTTAATGCATCTATATACTGTACCGTAAATGTAAATTCCTCCAAACATTTTTTTGTAATAAATTGCTATCATTAATAGCCACATCCATAAACTTTGTATAGAAAATAGATTGCATTTAAATCATTAAATGTGGCTCATACCCAAAATGCCAGGACAAGTTGAAAGCGAGGACCACATCTGCAGTGTCTTGTAAGGGGTCTTGAAGAGAGGCAATTTATTTAGTTCCTCAAGTTCTTTTAATCCAAAATCAGAGGGTCCAGATTTCAGATGAGCAAGATCACTGAGTCGACTAAAGTAGATAGCTTCAGGAGTAACACCAGCATCTAGCGCTTCCTTTGCAATGCGATGACCCTCTGCCACAAAAATCTTGTTTTCAGCTCTGAACTTTTGCGAGTTGACATTATTAAGTATTCCCCTGTAAAAAAAAATAATATATGCAGTATATATTGGTAAGGCAAAAAATCATTAGGGGGAACAGACACACAACGAGTTCAAGTTTTCTGCAATATCTATTGAAACATACAAACACGAGGGAACATAATAAACAGAAAACACACTTGAACCATTCCAGCCTTTCTTCTTTCAATTTTGAGATTTAACATCTTTCATACTCAATATAATACTGTGGCCTCATCACTTTATTCTATCCTAGCACCACACACACGTGCTTCACCATCTTCTGTAGTACCTTCCTCAGCAACTCAAGAGGGTTCCATTGTCTCAGTTTCTTCCTGTATTCAACAACAAATCAAAAAATCTTCCCCATACAATCAACAATAATTATTGTTCAGTTCTGTCTACATTTGCAGAGGAAATTTTTTTTTTTAACAAAAATAAATCTACTACTTTTGGGTTGTCCTCCAAAGGTCCATGAATAACATGTCATGTACTTTAATATTTATCTTGCACATTCGTATTTGATACCTTTAATGTTTCAATGTGTTATGGAAGTATATTGGACAAGTTCTGATGAAATTTGTGGTTCTGTACATTCACTGGTGCCGTTGTTGCAGGTTTTTTCCATCAGAGTCCAGGTGCTGATGATTATACCCTATGTTTCAAATCAACAAATGAATTTTAAAAGTAGATATTTTTTTTTAACCTTCTGTCAGTATGGTTAATAACACTTCGAAAGACAATTAATATTTTCTACAGGAAAACGGACCATAACACACACGATATTATAGAGGAAAATAAATATACTGTACACACAGAAATCACACTAACGTGATGCATCAAATGAACAAATCCACAAGGGCCGAGACAAGGATTCGAACCTGCGTCTGGGAGCATCCCAGACACTGCCTTAATCGACTGAGCTACGACAGGGTTAAAAAGAGTTGAAACCGAAGTTCTACTTAACTTACTGGATCCCGTAGCCTCTCCGATACACAAACCAGGGTTTTACACAACTCCCCCCTTGCACTCGAGCTATGTCAATAGGCCGTTCTCCCTCTTCGCCCTTACATCATTACACACAGAAATCACACTAACGTGATGCATCAAGGGAGAGGGCGAAGAGGGAGAACGGCCTATTGACATAGCTCGAGTGCAGGGGGGAGTTGTGTAAAACCCCTAGTTTGTGCCTCGGAGAGGCTATGGAATCCAGCAAGTTCAGTAGAACTTCGGTTTCAACTCTTTTAACTCTGTCGTAGCTCAGTCGATTAAGGCAGTGTCTGGGATGCTCTCGGGTGCAGGTTCGAATCCTTGTCACGGCCCTTGTGGATTTGTTCATTTAAATATACTGACTGTATTCTCAATAAGAAGTGTATTATCAATAAAGATAATTGTCAGTCTTCAGAGGAAAAAAAAGACAACCACATACAAATTTTATGTCTAAGAAATCAGAGTTACAGCAAAGTACATATTAGCAGGCCTAATATAAGATGTATAGCCAGCAAAGCAATTATTAAGAAAAAAGTACATTGTATAATTATGAACAACATTCATAACTGCTTTTACCTTATATAGTTCTTAGCTTTTGCTAAATGTGTGTACTGAATTTCATTCACAATATTCCAAGATTTTTTGGAAGACTCGCTGTACACTTCATGGCTGTTTAATTCCTTCTTCGGTCTTGATTCTGCAAATAAACCTTCCCTTAGAGTTTCCACAATATAAAATCTATAATTATAATTTAAATAAAAGAATAATCTTGAAATTATAAGTTCTGTTCAATTTAACTTTTCTCCAACAGACATTAAGCAAGAAACTACCGAAACTGCAACAGAATATACAACACAGTATAAATCTTATACAAAAATCCTTGCTTACTAGGCAAGATCATACTTGGAGGAGAAAAGCCAACATGTAAGGATTTTAACATTTGCTAAATGGGCCAGAGTCTTAAGTCACCCACAACAAGTTTATGCAATAGCATTAATTTAGATATGGAGTTATCAGGAAGCCACTGCTTGGGACATAAATTATAGCATAGAGAACCCTGCTGATGGAATCAAGACCATACCTCATATATTGGGTGCTGTGTACGGTATTTAAATATTTGTACAGAGTATCTCAGAACATTTAAGTGTTAGTGACATAACACAGCGAGTGAACTCAAAGTGTAACACAGCAGATGGAAAAATAAATTGCAGTGATCTAATTTAACTCTCACTGTAGTGAAAACAAAAGATATATACCAAAAATTATGCCAACACAATAGTACCAGCCAACATCAGGAAAATTTTAACTACCAAACCAGAAACATATCCAAGAACAAAGAATTCTCTGTGATCAGTAGCACCAGAAGTATTACATTAAACTGTTGTCTGAAAAACTAGACCAAGTTGTGTTATTGTAGTGCTCAAATAAAAGAAAAGAAATAAAGAAAAGACCCAGGAACTTGTCTAAAAGCTTGCTATACGAGACAACAGTGGCATGGTGTCAATAGACACCATGCTCAAGTACTTTATGGCATGTGCATCTTGAGAAAGCTGACTATCAGACTAGACCAACAGTAATAAATATATTTCAAGGAAGCTACAGTACATTAATATAGCTAATTAGGAGGAAAATGAGATTGCAAGATATACACTTTGATAATAAAACCACATAAGGTAAATTGGCATTACCCCCTGTCCCCTACCATCTACAACATAAGGGTCAAACTTGAAGGAGAAAGTACTACTGTAAACAATTGATTTTGAGGCATGTGGGATATATATATTCTTTAAAGTTATCATACAGGGTATTACATGTTAGCTTGCACACTACACTAGGTTATATGTAAATAAAGGTTCCATTTTGTTTGTATAGAAGTTACCAGTAGTAACAGTCCCCATTTTGGCAGTAGAGCACACACACACACACAGCCACACACATGCTTTGTAGATATAAATCTTTGCAAATCAAGCAATCTTAGTTGTCAGTACAGTCACCCAACCTTTCTCTAACAGACACGATGATGAGGTACTTGGCTGACTCTATTTACCTTTTGTTTTAGTATTAGAGCTAATTACTGAAATAGTCTCTTCATATTGCTTCAATACTTTTTCCTCTTCATTGACTGTAGGTGTATGTACTCTCACGGGCTGCCTTACAAGTTTTCGATAATTCCTCGAGGCCTGGATAGAATCTTTTACTAGAGCACACAACTGCACTCGAAATGTAAACATTTTTTACTGCGCTTTTTCCAATTGCTGCTGTTTTATTGTTTCTGCTGGAAAAAGACGTTGCTCTAGATCAAGCTGTCTTTCAGTGTTTCTTTTTCTCACACCTTGATGGTACGTCCTGGGGCCAGAAAATGTCTTCTGCAGGCTACGAGATGTATCCTTGCTTCAATTAGAGGGCTGAAACAGAATTGGTTCTATATAAGCCTTTACTTCAGTTTCGTAAAATATGTGTTCCAGAGGATACCACTGCCAGTTGTGGTGTGTGGAGAAAAGAGTGAGGAACAACAGCGTGACGAGACGCCCAGAAGCGAGCAGCGACCACTATGTAAACAATGCGGTCGCGGGCTACTCCAGCACAAACCGCTACACATCATCACACTTGCGCTAAGATCAGCGAAGCAGACGTACTTGTTGGTGCTTACCTGACTAAAGGAAACCACTATTTGTCAAATATTGATACTGTTCTTAAAAGATTTCCCCATTTTGCACCCGCAAGATAACGTAAGCTTTTAAGGGTTGACAGTCTCCGTGGTGTAGTGGTAAAACACTCGCCTGGCGTTCCGCGAGCGCTATGTCATGGGTTCGTATCCTGGCCGGGGAGGATTTACTGGGTGCAATTCCTTAACTGTAGCCTCTGTTTAACGCAACAGTAAAATGTGTACTTGGATGAAAAAACGATTCTTCGCGGCAGGGGATCGTATTCCAGGGACTTGCCCGAAACGCTACGCGTACTAGTGGCTGTACAAGAATGTAACAACTCTTGTATACATCTCAAAAAAAAAAAAAAAAAAAAAAAAAAAAAAAAAAAAAAAAAAAAAGATAGATGTTAATCTTCTTGTTTGAGGAGCTGTTCACTTGAGACAGTTAAGCAAGTCCCAGCTGTGTCTGGGTACAAGTGACAGGAGGAACAACCCAGCGGGTTTTCTTCCTATTGGGGAGTGTTGTACATGCTGCTATGGCGGTGTGTCCACTCACAAGATGAGTGGTGCTGCCCAATAAACTCACCCCTCGGGGGAAAATTTAAAAAAAAATAAAGAGGGAGCTGCTCTAACTCTCTCTGACCTGCGACTCTGATTCGACTCTCTGATCCTTGTTGTATTGCCTTGCTTTAAAGTTATGGATGAAGCTGCTTCAACGACGGGTTTTTTTTTTTTAATATATTACGTTTCAACCCGTCCTCGACTCGAGTCCATTACATCCAGCGGTCGACCCCACAGACGCATTCATAATTTTTACATGTTGTTCATTCAAAACGGGAATTTTCTCAAATATAAATTAATATTATAATATATTAGCATATTGTGCATCTATATAGGCATAGGTTGGGTTAGGTTAGGTGTTTAGGTTCTGTTGGCGATTATTTGTATTTGTAGCACATTTATAGCGTTGTGGTTCGAACAAAATTCGTCAATGAAACACTTGTTTGGTGGACGGGCTGATTACGTTTGTACAGTCCGGTTCGTATTCGACTCATAATTCCGGGCTCGAACCCCGTAATTCGATCCCCCCCCCCCATCAGTGTCGAATTACTGACCCTTCCCAGGATGCAACCCCACAACAAGCTAACTCAGGAGCACCTACGCGCGTACTGCTCGGTGAACAGAAGAATTAAGTGAAAGAAAATGTGCCCAACCATTTCTGTCACGCCTGCGATTCGAACCCAGAATTTTCGATTGTGTATCGTGAACGAACCTGACTGTACAACCGGGACCCTTTTCTATCACCTAATGACCCCCCCCCCTGTTCACCTAGCAGTAAGCAGGTACCCAGGAGTTACTCAGCTTGTTGCGGGGTCCCATCCTGGAGAGGGTCAGTTGTAACAGCTCCAAAGGTTGGAAGGAATTTTACCTGTAAGTAGAGAAAAGGTTTGAGTTCTGTAATTAGTACTAATGAGAGCTTTGCTTCTCCCATTAGGCTAATGAGTTTGGAGCGAGTATATTAATGGGTAATCTACTCGCTACACAGTAATTCGACCTTAGCGGCATCTCGATATGAGCCTAATATGTATATTTACCTGAATTTACCTGAAAGCCACTATATCTACAGTGGCTTCGACGATGCCGGCGGCTTATCAAATGTCTTCCATTTGTCCTGATAATTTTATTTATTTAAATCTTAAATTGCAGCAGTATCTAGGGCATTTACGGCTTCAGGGAGTATGCAGTTCCATTGGTATATAACCCTATTTTACAGCATAAACAGAAAGAATACAATTCTTTATTAATTGTTATATGACAGATAACAGCTGGCAGTAGTATAGGTTCAGGAATTAAATTTCCATAACAGCAAAACATAGGCTGACATTTAGAAAGTAATGTAGGTTACATAGAGTTTATTAGGTAGCTCCAAGTTTCTCTTTTAAACTGGTTGAGAGAAGGACAGTCTTTGATGTGATTAGTGAGGTCATTCTACATTTTGGGATCCTGATTTGCAGAGCATTTTTGCTTTGGTTAAGTCTCACTCTTGTAATATCAAATAGATATTTATTTCTAGTAAAGTGCCCATGGGTTCCGTTACAGCCCTCTAGGAAGCATTTATGGTCGGGATTAGCATTGTAGTTCAGGGATTTATCTATAAATACAGTACACTTGAGAGGATGTGCAGTGATTAAATATGATTAAATATCTTCTCTATGTACTCGACATTCATATCTGTACACACCATCCATCTCTGTACGTGCTGTCATATCTCTTTAAACATCACATATTTTGCAACCCCAACTTTCCTAAATATCGAGGTGGCATCATCCTTTAATGAAATATTGCCACATCTGCCAGCTCCCTCTCCTCTGCCCGGAAGTTGACGCCACGCTCCGGGAGAGTCCGTCTTTTCCTATTAGCGGTAACTAGGGCATCAGAGTCGCTATGTTACCGTAACAAGCGGTAGCGAGGAGCCATATTTCGTAGCCTTCACTTTCCCTAAAAGCATCCCAAATAATAATACAAATAATATTAAACAAGTAGACAACGACAAATTAGAATCTTTAAAATCCTCCGACTGATGGAAACAAATTCATTTATGGAACGAAAAAATTCGGCAAAAGCCTACAACACACGGTGAGAATATGTGGTCGACTGTTAATAGGAAAACAAATGTTTCATGAAAGCATTTCCTCCATAATAGGAAAACAAATGTTTCATGAAAGCATTTCCTCCATAATAGGAAAACAAATGTTTCATGAAAGCATTTTCTCCATAATAGGAAAACATATGTTTCCTATTATGGAGTTGTTTACACTGAGACTGTGAGGGGACCCTTAGGTTATGTCTCTTATTATCATAGTCCCTGAGTGTTGTGAGAATTGTATTGGTGAAATTATAGGGCTAGTTATGTAGGCATGGTTTATGAAAGAAGTGTTTGTATATCTTTTGAAGAATGTAGAAAATTTACTTTAAATCGGAAATAGCGGGTGGTTAAGTCCCTGCCAGATGTAAGATTAATTGGTGCTCCTATAGCTATAATTAGATACACTGTGATGCTATGTTGTGTAGTGTGTTGTAAAGCTAGGATGTTATATTTATACTAAGAAATGAATGGTGGCAATTAAATATTGTATTAGAGGTTTGAGTAAGTGTTTACTGCACGACCAGTTTTACCACAGCAAGAAGGCAGGCTGTGAGCACAAATTTCCCCTGCATCAAAATATGATGTACTGTAAATCACAGCAGCAGCTCGTTGAACTGACGTGCTGTTACGTTTTCTATTCGTGGGCTCTCGGTTAGGTTAGGTTCGGGCAATTTAGTACATTACTAAACGTTATAGAGGACGTTACATATCTTAGCATTACAATCACTCCAGTCTGAATCTCAACTTACACATATAGGGTGAGAGACCAAGCGTCGAGAACCTCTACCTCTCCCCACAAGTGAGCAGTGGGGAGATTTTAGACAAAAAGTGGTTGTAATATGGATGGTGGAGAGGTAGATAACCTTCAACACTCTAATAAGGGCAGCTGATCCATTAATGATGCAATTTTTAACTGCTCGTGGTGTGGTGGTAGTCTGAGGCCAGTCCCTCGCGTTGTTCTTTTATTTCATAATGATATAAGCACATTATATCTATAAATTTAAATGTCTGTCTGTCGTTGGAAGTCAGATGCTTCACGCAATTTTTCTCAGTAATTGCTGTCGGGTATGTACATATCATGGGCAGGTCAGGATTAGTGTCAAAGAAAAAAGTGCCATGTAACATGCTAACGTCACTCCCATGAGAAATCTCACAATATTATATGACTCGACTCTGAATTAGTATTAATTTTTTTTTTAATATCGGAAACAATGCACTGATCACACGAAAATTAAATAATTTTAATCATAATACTAATCATTTAAATCCAACAAATATTGATGATTTGAATTTTTCCCCTTAGATTTTTGGACTGTGTGTTGATGAAACAACTTTTGTATGTGTTCTTATAGTGTTATAGATTTGTGCTACTGTAGGAGAGAGAGAGAGAGAGAGAGAGAGAGAGAGAGAGGCAGATACAGAGACTGAAACTGAGGTAGACAGACAGACAGACGCATTCTTAGCAGGGGAGGGGTCAACAACAGCTGAAGCAACATTCCTGGCAAGGGTGGTGGATGGGGGGGCCAGGTGACCTTCAGAAAGGTGGGTAGCTGCCTCCTGTGGTCACCTCACCTCCCATGCGGCTGGGAGAACACCTCCCCCACTTCGGACCGTAGTCTAACAACCCAATTGGATCAATGTCCTGCGAAACATATGATAGTTACATTGATTGATGAAGATTAAACCACCCAAGAGGTGGCACGGGCATGAATAGCCCGTAAGATAGTTAAATGTATCACACTGGTCTATATATCGTCCTTCACGCACAGTCGAGGGGGGACCCGGGGTCTTTCCCAGGGCAGAACGGGAACGGATGGGCACATTTCCTTTCATCTGATATAACTGTTCACCTAGCAGTAATAATAGTTACCTGGGATGTAGGTGACTGTTGTGGGTTGCATTGTGTGAAAGTCCCTCACAGTACACTTCAAGTCCCTCACAGTTTGTCAAATCATCCAGAGTGTACAGATAGACGCAGCAGACAACGTGAAGAAAATTCAGATATGTAAACTCGAAATTTTTCTCCCCCGTTAAACAAATAATATAAGATTTATTAAACAGTATAATATTTACAACACCACACTAAAGTAAACTTCAAAGACACTAGTCCACGTAAGTGGTATAGGGCGCTGGGCCAGGAGGCCGTAGTGAATATCTAACATGTTTTTATACCGTAACTCACTGGAGCGTTAATGTTGATATGGGCGGTCGGGTGAGGCTCTTACTGACATTCTGAAGTGTTGGGGCTCTGTGAGGCTATATGAAGTTGTGGGGTGTTGTTGTTGTTGTTGTGGATACATACGTGTTGTTTTTTATACATAGTAGGGGGGAGAGGGTCACGGAACAAGTGACGGATGTGTCCGCCGTTCCCGTGTAGGGTAGAAAGGAAAACCTTTCGCCTATGCAGACGTCGCCTGTCGGCGGAAACCTACTGTGCCTTACGGCAGACAAAGACATTGTCAGGGAGATGTTTGGCAAAGGTTGGCGCCGGATCCCGACGCCACACAGAGTACCAGGAACACTTATTGACATCGGTGACCCCAGACGACAAGGCGTCAGGCGTACTATAAGCTCTGGCCAGTTGAACAAATAAAATGACGTCCGAAGGACAGAATCATGACGGCCATTCTTAACTCGAGCCCCAATCAGGAAAAAAAACCGAGGAAGTCCGAAACGGTGGCTACTACCTTTTTCAGGTATATTCCCGTATGGTCCCTAAGCCTAGGGCTAAACTATTAAGTGCTACCACTCACTTCTGTCCCGGGCGGTGGATGAGTATTTGTGACTTATGTTGGCTTCTGTAAGGTTGCAGGCGATGAGTCACAATAACGTGGCTGAAGTATGTTGACCAGACCACACACTAGAAAGTGAAGGGACGACGACGATCTTTCGGTCCGACTTGAGAATGGTCCAGGACGGACCGAAACGTCGTCGTCCCTTCACTTTTTAGTGTGTGGTCGGTTCTGTAAGATTATTTATGTCCAGTGTAAGTTTAACAACTTACTCTGCACTGTTGAGTCTCAGTAATCTTATTTGGCGTGCAAATTGAATATATTCGGATTCAGAGAAAGATAATGATCAATCTGATTTGAAAGTAAGCTTGCACGCTTATGAAAAAACTACCGGGTAGCATAATGGATGTGGGGTCGCTGAAGTGTTTCGAGCGTAGGTTAGACATATATGACTGTATTTGGAGGGTTCTAAATAGGATCTGTCTCGCGTGGAACAAAAGGCTTTCTGTATTACTCTTTATTATTTTATCCATACGTTCTATCGCTTTCCTAATGTTTCCAGGTTCTGTCTCCCCATTTACATGAAAGTGAGAAATAAAGTAATGATAATAAATTACCAAATGAAACAAACGAGAAACATTCGCCTAGACTCTGGCAAAAACTGATTACTTATGCGATATACGATCAAAGAGACGTGAGAAATAATATTGCGAACTTCATAAATTTCAGGAGCCAGTACTAAACACAGTGTCCTAAAGTGCTAACAGCAAACACAGTGCCCTGAAGCGCTTGTAGCAAACACAGTGCCCTGAAGCGCTTGTAGCAAACACAGTGCCCTGAAGCGATTGTAGCAAACACAGTGCCCTGAAGCGCTTGTAGCAAACACAGTGCCCTGAAGCGCTTGTAGCAAACACAGTGCCCTTAAACGCTAGTCGAAGCTTTTGTTTTAGGAAGGGGGTTGAGCCGTAGAGTGTGGAGAGTGACTGGGAAGCGGGACAGGAACACACAGGCAGTATATCGTAGACTCGAGCAGATGAAACCGAGTGCCACTTGTGAAGAGGTCGAGCAGCGGAGAAAGTGGCACTGCTGGTGACATGGTGTGGGTGTGAGGCAGGACTCAAGGGGGACAAGTGGTCTAGTGGTGCACGGGAGGTGAGGGCTGAGAGAGAGAGAGAGAGAGAGAGAGAGAGAGAGAGAGAGAGAGAGAGAGAGAGAGACACACACACACACTAGTGGTAGAGGCATCCAGGAATATGGCATATAGTAGATCATTGGGCTGAGGTAAGGGGTAAAAGACACCAGCGGGAGGCAGTAGGGAGGGGAGGAAGGCACTAGAGGCAGCGAGGGAAGGGCAGCCATGGAGGCAGGAGACTAGGACACCGTGCCTCTCACCACCACCATCAACAGCTCACCATGCAGGATGTTGGAGGGATATTTTGTAGGTCAGTTTTGACCTTGAACGTCCAGGAACCAGACTACTGCTCCTGAGCCGCCCAGGGGGGCAGCACATGTATCAGCTCTCACCGTAGCCTTCAGCCTGACGGGTCAAGAAAAAGTGTTTGTGGTTCAGGATAGAACACACACGCGCGCGCGCACACACACACACACACACACACACACACACACACACACACACACACACACACACACACACATTTTGACAGAAATATTTGAAAATAACAGTGTGTGTGTTTGAGAGAGAATTTCATACAATAAGATCCGTTTTAACCGAAGCCGCAACCATTTTGCTCACTGCTTGAAGCACCGCTGGGTGCCAGTGCTACAGGCGCTGCGCTCGACGAGAAATTGAATGACTTGAAGAAGATGGAATAGAGAATACTCAATTTGGATGCTCACGACGCCGTGTGCCCGCTCACAGTGTGCCTCAACTGGCTCAGGTTAACATAAGACAATAAGAACAAGGTAACTGCAGAGGCATATTGGCCCATACGAGGCAGCTCCTATCTATAACCACCCAATCCCACTCATAAACATGTCCAACCCGCGCTTGTAAGAACATATTTCCTGAGGTGCGCGATCTCCCGACATCATATTCACTCAGACACTCAACCTCCAAACGTATGACAGCCTGTGGAGCCACGCAACACTGCCAGTCAGAATGGCAGTGTTGGAATACGACTACGGTAAGGGAAACGCAGATTCCACTTCCGGCATTCATGTTTTCCTGCATTGCTGCCAGCGAGTAGGTAGAGAAGATTCCTATCAGATCACACAAGAGAACGAATTAGAATACGTGATCCTAATTAAGTTCACAGATGCAGCCAATCAGTGGGACCACATTGCCTCGCCCTCACCTCGCTCAGCACCCCTAAAAATCAAACATAAACCGCTGGAATTATTCTAAAATGAAAAAAAAAAAACATCAACAATGCTTCTAGGTGGGATAGAACCTATCTTCCAGTGATGGCAGCTCCACATGCTGGAGATTTTTTATTCGGCGTCCCTAATACCTCCTTGAGGTAATTGTCGTAAACTGATGAGGTTTCCCAGCTTCACAGGAAAGAAAAGACGATCGTTCTTAAGAACGATCTTCATCTTAAGAACGATCTTAAGAACATCGTTCTTAAGAACGATGTTCTTAAGAACATAAGAACAAAGGCAACTGCAGAAGGCCTATTGGCCCATATGAGGCAGCTCCTATTTATAACCACCCAATCCCACTCATATACTTGTCCAACCCGCGCTTGAAACAATGGAGGGACCCCACCTCCACCACGTTACGCGGTAATTGGTTCCACAAATCAACAACCCTGTTACTGAACCAGTATTTACAACCAACAAGAGGTTCTTGTTGGTCATTAGGTAGTATATCATGGTGTAAGAGCGGGGTGTACTCTACTGGACCCAGGTTACACGTCATGGTGGTTATAAATAGGAGCTGCCTTGTATGGGCCAATAGGCCTTCTGCAGTTGCCTTTGTTCTTATGGTCTTATGGCGGGGGAAGCGAGTGGGTGCTGGTATATGTAGATTATGCAGTTCAGTTTTGGTCGCCGTACTATAAAATGGATATAAATTCACTTGAACGTGTCCAGGGTAGGATGACAAAGTTAATTCCCCAAATTAGAAATCTTTCATATGAAGAAAGATTAACAAAGCTTAAATTGCATTCATTGGAAAGGCGAAAAGTTAGGGGTGACATAATAGAGGTTTACAAGTGGATGAATGGACATAATAAAGGGGGATATTAATAGGGTATTAAAAGTATCAACACAAGACAGAACACGAAACAATGGATATAAATTGGATAAGTTTAGATTTAGGAAAGACTTGGATAAATAATGGTTCGGTAACAGGGTTGTTGATTTGTAGAACCTATTACAGCGTAACGTGGTGGAGGTGGTGTCCCTCGATTGTTTCAAGCGCGGGTTGGACATGTTTATGAGTGGGATTGGGTGGTTATAAATAGGAGCTGCCTAGTATGGGCCAATAGGCCTTCTGCAGTTATCTTTGTTCTTATGTTCTTAGGAGTGGGGCTGTAACTACGTCTATGCTATAGACGTAGAGGCTATTCAACGTCAATAAATATCAGGTGTAACGAGGTCTCTCTGCTGTTTTGTTAGTATATGCCAGGGTTAACGAGATCTCTGGATGAAAGATGATCGCGGAACCCCAAACATTTAATGTCAATTAATAACCTCTTTGGCGTCAGACAACTTTACAGTGTTGCCATTTTATTAAACTATATAAAAAGTCTCTTACAAGCAAGGGGAAGGAAGGGCTAAACTATTATATATATATATATATATATATATATATATATATATATATATATATATATATATATATATATATATATATATATTGGGCTTCAGGGAGAAGGCCTATTGGCCCATACGAGGCAGCTCCTATCTGTAACCACTCAATCCCACTCATATACATGTCCAACCCGCGCTTGAAACAATCCAGGGACCCCACCTTCACCACGTTACGCGGTTATTGGTTCTACAAATCAACAACCATGTTACCGAACCAGTATTTACCCAAGTCTTTCCTAAATCTAAACTTATCCAATTTATACCCATTGTTTCGTGTTCTGTCTTGTGTTGATACTTTTAATACCGTATTAATATCGCCCTTTGTTAAGAACATAAGAACAAAGGCAACTGCAGAAGGCCCACCGGCCCACACAAGGCAGCTCCAACTTAATTACAACCACCCAATCCAACTTACATGCTCAACCCACGCCTGAAACAATCGAGGGACCCCACCTCCACCAAGTTACGCGGTGGAGGTGGAGGTTAGCTACTCAGAACGAAGTGTCCATGTAGCACGGGCTATGGTGAGCGTTGTAAAGACTTGCGCTCATATATAAAACTTCAAACGGCAGCAATCGGTTTTACGGGGTCACCATAGCCCGTGCTACATGGACATTTCGCTCTGAGTAACTAAATCTAAAACAACAACAACAACAGGCATCAGTCAGTCAGTAAAGACCAGAACGTCGTCCCGAGAACACCTGACCAGTTTCTACACCAACGAGCCACTACATATACGCCCTCAAGGGCAGCAGTCAGTCAGTAGAGACCAGAACGCCGTCTGGTGAACACTGGTCTGTTGCAACACTAAGGAACCACTACAATTTACGTTATACATATTGTGCATTATACATTCTACGCCCCCGAATTTTTGTGAGTGAACCGGCGAAATCTTTTCAAATAATTTAAAGTGCGAGAAAAAACACCCGCTCCCTCTTCCTTAAATATCTGTATTTGATTCAGATAAGAACGAAAATGACGAACTTAAAGTATTTGATGCTGCACTTGGCCGCTGTGATTGTGTGCAGCCAGGAAGTTATTATACGTGACTCGTCGAACATCTGTTTCCTTCCTCCAGCTAAGGGAATCTGCCGTGCTAACATTCCCTCCTTCTTCTACAACCCGGAGACAAATGCTTGCGACTGCTTCGTGTACGGCGGATGTTTGGGCAACGAGAACAGATTCGAGACTCTGGATGAGTGCATGAGAACTTGCAACGTCTTACCTAGTCTGCAGGACAATACTGCCGAGTGTGACAGAGTCTTGGGACGCTTCAACCCACTTGCGAAAAAAGAGGTGTTGGACGCTATCAAGGACTCTGTAAAGCCGACGCAGATCCCACAGGATCCTCCACGTCCTTCATACCTACAGCCAGCGCAACAATTCCTTCAACCAGCGCCACAGATCCTTCAACCAGCGCCACAGATCCTTCAACCAGCGCCACAGATCCTCCAACCAGCCCCACAGATCCTCCAACCAGCACCACAGATCCTCCAACCAGCCCCACAGATCCTCCAACCAGCCCCACAGATCCTTCAACCAGCACCACAGATCCTTCAACCAGCACCACAGATCCTTCAACCAGCACCACAGATCCTTCAACCTGCGCCACAAATCCTCCAACCTGCACCACAAACCATCCAACCAGCCCCACAAACCTTACAGTCGCTTCTGCAACTCCTACAGAAATCGCTACCAACCCAACATCGTGCGCTACTGACTCAGCAATCTTTAACGCAAGGCGAGCGGGTTCCAGCGGGCATGCCAACAGACAGCTGGTTCAGGAGGATAGAGAGTCTGGTATTGGATGACTCAGATTCCAGTGTTGAGTCTCTCTACGTCGGTCAGCCGGCCTTCTTCACCCTGGATCATGACGATGATGACTAGAAATCATACCGATGCTTTTCTCGTTCTAGGAGAAACATTTAATATATGATCTATGATACAGTATTATCAGATCGAGTGGGGAATTTTTATATTATATATGTATATATATATTTTAAGTTTTGTATTATTTCATTTCAGAATGTATATTTTACGTTTTAGAATGTATATTTTAGATTTTCATATAAATTATATCTGTTGTTAATTTCTCTTAACAGCATTGATGTATATAATATTACTGTGTAGCCTATCCCGTAAACACTGCCCGAATTGTTGTAATTAAACACATTGTTGTAATTAATTCCACCCTTTTCTTGGGGTTGGAACTGTACATGTACTATGTATATAATTCTATGTACTGTCCTTAAAATAATTTTTTAATGTACATGAACACCTGTAAAATAAAATTAATTTATAATTTAGAAAAATGTTTTTTATTTGTGTAAATAACGATGTCGATAGTCCGTACTTGTTCTATTGTCTAATGGTGAAGAATGGATTGAAAAATGAGGTTACCATTACAATTATATTATTAGGAGAACGCGAGCCTCAGTGTAAGACAAACTCATTGTGAGTTGACCAGACCACACTAGAAACTGAAGGGACGACGACGTTTCGGTCTGGCCTTGCTACCATTCTCAAATCAATTGAATATTGTGAGGCTAGCGTTCTCCTTAATAGGTGACTGATTTGATGAAACCTATCGGTGTTCCCTTCCCATTGAGTGTTTTCGGGTATCGAAAACTCTTCCTATTGCTATCTTAGCGAAATATCCAAAATTTGCTTACTGTAGGGATGCATGTACACGACTGTAAATCTGCCGCCCAGTTGGGTGGGAGCAAGACACCCGCAGACCCTGTGGGTGTGACTCACCATAGATGTATAGTGACTTGCGAGTCTCTTGTTGAATCATTTGTGATACAAAAGATTATTAATTTGTGTAGTTGATTAAATGGTGATTGATTTTTCTTTATAAGTGTCTTTATAAGTGTATCAAATTTACCAGCAGCTTGATACATAAAACATACGGACATAGTATGTATATTCTCATATATGTATGAGTATGTACAGGCGATGAGTCACAATAACATGGCTAAAGTATGTTGACCAGACCACACACTAGAAGGTGAAGGGACAACGATGTTTCGGTCCGTCCTGGACCATTCTCAAGTCGATTGATGTACATACTTGTACATCAATGAATGTACAAGTGCCAGAGGGTTCAGAACCGATTAGGTGTAATCCTTCACACCATCGCCCACGGGATGCGTATGGGGGGCATAATAAAGAAAGAAATTGATAAATTGATTATCAACAGCATAAAGGAAAGTCTGCAATGGTAGGTGGGAATAATATTTTCCCACTTAGTGTTAACTAGCAGGGAAACACAAATTAATGACATCGAAATAGGGAGAGAGCTAGGGAACTGTGATCACAAAGAAGTGATATTTAGCATAGAATGGAATAAACCTATAGTAGAATATTCTGTTAAAGTGCCAGATTTTCGAAAAGCTGACTTCAATAGCCTAAGAAATTTTTTGGGAAAGTATTGGGCATGGGATGTGGGCCGGTCTTGGAGCGGGACATGAACCCAGCGATAGGTGCCGTAAAAGGGGATTTCGATGTGGATTCAAAATATAACTTATTTAAGAATATTCTAAGCAAATCACAGGAACGTAGTATACCATACAAATTGAATAGATCGAATAATGGTCCAAAGTGGATAACAAAGGACCTGAAGAACCTTATAGGTAAAAAGAGACCGTGGAATAAAAGGATTTAAAATGGGGAAGTCAGTTTAGAACAGGAATTCGCACAACTTGTTAGAAATGTTATAAAAGAGATAAGGAAAGCAAAAAGAAACGCATAGAAGTTCGCATAGCAGGCCAAGACAAATGCTAAAGGGTTTTTTCAGTTATATCAAACTAAGACTAGGGAAAGGATAGGTCCATTAAATCTGAGACAGGTCAAATTTACTATATCTGTATTTACTAAAAAGGAACTTAACAATATGCCTTCAGCGGAACAAGTCTATGTGGGTGGGGATGAGGACAGGTTAACTAGTTTAGCAGTTACCAGGGAGGATGTAATTAAACAAATAGTAAAACTAAAACCAAATAAATCCCCAGGGCCGGATGAAGTGTTTGTCAAGGTGCTTAAAGAATGCAAAGAGGAGCTTTCCGAGCCACTGTCTACCACATTTAACAAATTAATATAGTTAGGCAGAGTGCCAGAGCCATGGAAGGTAGCTAATGAGGTACTAATTTTTAAGAAAGGAGATAGATCACTTTCCTTCAAACTATCGGCCAATTAGCCTAACGTCTATTATGGGAAAGTTACTTGAATCGATAATTGCAAATACAATTCGTCTTCATCTTGAAAAACAAATTAATAAATGAGTCGCAACATGGTTTTACAAATGGCCGTTCATGTTTAATAAATTTGCTATCTTTTTATTCCAGTATAGTTGAGGCAGTTGATAGTGGTAAGGATTGTTATGTTTTGTACCTTGACTTTAGAAAAGCATTTGATACAGTGCCACATGAAAGACTGATTAAAAAAAATAGAGGCTCATGGTATTGGGGGTGCTATAATAAAGTTAGATTAGGGCATGGCTATTCCAAAGGAAACAGAGTTAGTATAAATGGAGTTAAGTCAGATTGGGATAATGTTGTTAGTGGAGTGCCTCAAGGCTCTGTCCTGGGACCTCTGTTGTTTATAATAAGAACAAAGGTGGGTGCAGAAGGCCTATTGGCCCATACGAGGCAGCTCTTATCTATAACCACCCAATCCCACTCATACTTGTCCAATCCGCGCTTGAAACAATCCAGGGACCCCACCTCCACCACGTTACGCGGTAATTGGTTCCACAAATCAACAACCCTGTTACCGAACCAGTATTTACCCAAGTCTTTCCTAAATCTAAACTTATCCAATTTATACCCATTGTTTCGTTTTCTGTCTTGTGTTGATACTTTTAATACCCTAATATATATATAAATGATTTAATTTCAAGTTTGAGTAGCAACATCTGCAAATTTGCAGATGATACAAAAATCGGTAGGGAAATTAACACGGAAGAAGACTCACTATCACTTCAAGTTGATCTAAATAAGGGTTTGAAATGATCAAAAGATTGGCAGATGCAGTTTAATGCTGATAAATGTAAAGTTCTGAGGCTAGGTAATGATGAATGGTAATGAGTTACAAGATACGAGCTAGATGGTGTTGAGATTGCGAAAGGGATCTGGGAGTTATGATAAGTAAGAATTTAAAACAAAAGGATCAATGCATGAATGTTCGTAATAAGGCAAATAAGACACTGGGATTTATTAATCGAAGTGTTAGTAACAAGACACCTGGTGTGGTTCTTCAGCTATATCTTGCTCTGGTTAGGTCCCATTTAGATTATGCAGTTCAATTTTGCTCGCCATACTATAGAATGGATACAAATTCACTTGAATGTGTCCAGCGTAGGACGATTAATTCCCCAAATTAGAAATCTTTCATATGAAGAAATATTAACAAAGCTTAAATTGCATTGACTGGAAAGGCGAAGAGTTAGGGGTGACATAATAGAGGTTTACAAGTGGATGAATGGACATAACAAAGGGGATATTAATAGGGTATTAAAAGTATCAACACAAGACAGAACACGAAACAATGGGTATAAATTGGATATATAAATTGGAGGCTTTCTGCAGTTCTCATTATTACTACTATCCCCTACACCTTACTTTCCTCCTCAGCTCTCTCTTGCCTATTTATTGCCTGTCCCTACCTCCTCATCACTGAGCTGTTTGCCATACAACAGGCATTCGCATATGTGATTGCACAAAACACTCAAAATGCAATCATACACACAGACTCAAAAGCTGCACTTCAAATACTAGGACAAAAACAGTGGAAAGATAATGTGGAAATAACTACCACCATTTTGTATCTTGGAGCAGTCGCTAAAGGCAAAGAACTCAACATAACTTTATTTATTTATTTATATATATACAAGAAGGTACATTGGGTTTGTGAGAATACATTGGATAGTACAGTATTTTCATTCTTGTAAAGCCTCTAGTACGCACAGCGTTTCGGGCAGGTCCTTAATCTAGCAGAATCTTTCAACTGGATCCCATCCCATTAAATGAAAAAGCTGATGAAATTGCTAAATTGGCAACTCGCCATCCAGTGATACATAAAACAATTCAACCCAGCCTAGAGAACATAAAAAACATCATCACCAAAAAACTCTCACATCTCAACAAAGCCTACCTGCACCAGAGAATAGCTGAAGGTTCGCCATCTGCAACATGGTATCTTCAGGCAACCAAATTAGAAAGGTTAAATATCCCAAAAGGAATCCACAGGGAAATAGCAGTTAGGCTATATAGACTACGTCTAGGTTACAGATGCAACTGGGAGATTGGTGAACCCCGACAGAGAGAGTGCATCTTCTGCCAAACTGTCACAGAAAAGCCATTACTTCACTATCTTCTGGAATGTGAAGCAACCAATGACCTTAGAAGAGCTTTAAGAGTTCCTGAATCATGCAGTGGCCACCCTGAAGCCATCAACACAGCCACTCTCCTGGTCAACAAAGGTGTCCAGCAGCTGGACACCCTCAAAGACTGTGAAGCAGTATCCTCCCCCGCGATAACAGCTTGATGGATAAATGCAACCTCAGAATACTGAGAGAAAAAAAATTGTACCACTTACGGGCTATTCATGCCCGTGCCACCTCTTGGGTGGCTTAATCTTTATCAATCAATCTTTATCTCCTCATCACCACGGGAGACATCTCCCGTCACGCAGGGTGCAGTCGCACCTCCACAGATCTCCAGTATCATCTATTGATACTGGAAATGGCTCAAAAGGGCCACCACTTATGGGCTATTCATGCCCAAGCCACCTTTTGGGTGGCTTAATCTTCTCTCTCTCTTCTCTCCTCATCACAATCGACTTGAGAATGGTCTAGGACGAACCGAAACGTCGTCGTCCCTTCAACTTCTAGTGGTCAACATAAATTGGATAAGTTTAGATTTAGGAAAGACTTGGGTAAATACTGGTTCGGTAACATGGTTGTTGATTTGTGGAACCAATTACCGTGTAACGTGGTGGTGGGGTCCCTCGATTGTTTCGAGGGACCCCACCACCACGGGTTGGGTTGGACATGTTTATGAGTGGGATTGGGTGGTTATAGATAGTAGCTGCCTCGTATAGGCCAATAGTCCTTCTGTAGTTACCTTTGTTCTTATGTTCTTCCGTGTTAATTTCCCTACCGATTTTTGTTTCATCGGCAAATTTGCAAATGTTGCTACTTAAACCTGAATCTGAATCATTTATATATATTAGAAACAACAGAGGTCCCAAGACAGAGCCTTGAGGCACTCCACTTACAATATTTAAGAACATAACATAAGAACATAAGAACAAAGGTAACTGCAGAAGGCCTATTGGCCCATACGAGGCAGCTCCTGTCTATAACCACCCAATCCCACTCATATACATGTCCAACCCGCGCTTGAAATAAACGAGGGACCCCCATCTCCACCACGTTACGCGGCAATTGGTTCCACAAATCAACAACCCTGTTACTGAACCAGTATTTACCCAAGTCTTTCCTAAATCTAAACTTATCCAATTTATACCCATTGTTTCGTGTTCTGTCTTGTCCTGTTCTGTGATATCTTCTCATGTGGCTAAGAAATAACACCAACACATTATCCTCCATTTACTCTACTTTGAAACCCCACTCTCACACTCCTCTCACCCACACACTCTACCATATACTGACAACCTTCTCACCCACATACTCCAAGATACTGACACTCTTGAATTCCTCTCTCACACACTACTTGACTCTGACAGTTTCTCCTCCACAAAATACTTCACACACTCCTCCCACCCTGTTCGCCTTCTGTAGTCTCTCTCTAATACCAAACCAGAAAATTGCTCTAGTTGGTTTAATCAGGAACGTTTATCGACTAGTGTGAATTATTGAGGAGTGGGTGCTGGGCCGTGGCTGGGAGGGAGTCTGACTAGTAGGACAGATGGGGGAGGGGTCTTGTAATTTTCCCACTCTGACTCAACCCCATTTATACTAACTCTCTGTTTCCTACATCTGGGTAATTTTTCGTTACCTCAGCATCTGATTCCCCTAATTTTCCAATGACATCACCAGCCATCTTCCTCAATAACTCTGTTTTTTCCGTGATAACATATTTAACCCCATTTTCATATTTATTCCCACTTTCGATATTAAACTAAAAGGATTAAAGAACCGCCTTCTATCAACCCTAATATGCAATGACATAAGAACATTAGATTGAAGGTAACTGTACAAGACCCATACGAAGCAGGTACTATTTATATCCACCCAATCACATTCATATATGTCTAACCTATGCTTGAAACAATCAATGGATCCTACTTCTATTATGTTACGCGGTAATTGAATCCACAAATCAACAACCCAGTTACCAAACAAGTATTTATCCAATGTCTTTGCTAGACCTAAACTTATTTAATTTATACCCATAGTTTCGTGTTCTGTCTTGTGTTGATACTTTTAATATCGTATTAATATCCCCCTTTGTTAAGAACATAAGAACAAAGGCAACTGCAGAAGGCCCACACGAGGTAGCTCCCACTTACAACCACCCAATCCCACTTACATGCATGCCCAACCCACGCCTGAAACAATCGAGCCGGGAAGTTGCAACGTGGCGCCAAAATCCCGGAACGATAACACGCAAGCGTTATAAAGACTCGCGCTCATATATACAACCTCAAACGGCAGCAATCGGGTTTACGGGCTCACCATAGCCCGTGCTACTTTGGAACGTTTTGTTCCGAGTAGCTGAATCTAAAACAACAACAACAACAGGCAGCAATCAGTAGTGGCCAGGACGTCGTGTCGTAAACCCGTGACCTGTTTCAACACCACACCAACGAAACACTACATATACGCCCGCAACGGCAGCAGTCAGTCAGTAGAGACCAGAACATCGTCTCGTGAACACTGGTCTGTTGCAACACTAACGAACCACAACATTTTACGTTATACATATTGTGCATTTTACATTCTACGCCCCAAGTTGTTTTATGGGTGAACCGGTCGAATCTTTTCAAATAATTTAAAGTGCGAGAAAAAACACCCACTCCTTCTTCCCTAAATATCTGTATTTGATTCAGATAAAAACTAAAATGACGAATTTGAAATATTTGATGCTGCACTTGGCCGCTGTGATTGTGTGCGGCCAGGAAGTTATACCTGACACGTCGAACATCTGTTTCCTTCCTCCAACTACGGGATTCTGCCTGGCTTACTTTACCAGATTCTTCTACAACCCGGAGACACATGCTTGCGACTGCTTCGTGTACGGCGGATGTGAGGGCAACGAGAACAGATTCGACACTCTGGATGAGTGCATGAGAACTTGCAACGTCTTACCTAGTCTGCAGGAAAATACTGCCGAGTGTGACAGAGTCTTGGGACGCTTCAACCCACTGGCGAAAAAAGAGGTGTTGGACGCTATCAAGGACTCTGTAAGGCCGACGCAGATCCCACAGGATCCTACACATCCTTCATACCTACAGCCAGCGCAACAAATCCTTCAACCCGCGCCACAGATCCTTCAACCTGCACCACAGATCCTTCAACCAGCGCCACAGATTCTTCAACCAGCGCCACAGATCCTTCAACCAGCGCCACAGATCCTTCAACCAGTGCCACAGATCCTTCAACCAGCGCCACAGATCCTTCAACCAGCGCCACAGATCCTCCAACCAGCACCACAAACCTTACAGTCGCTTCTACAACTAAAGAGAGCGCTACCAATTTAACGTGTGCCACTGACTCAGCAACCTTTACCGTAAGGCGAGCGGGTTCCAGCGGGCATGTGGGAAGACAGCTGGTTCAGGAGGATACGGAGCCTGGTATTGGATGACTCAGGTTCTAGGGTTGGCTCTCTCTACGTCGGTCAGCCGGCCTTCTTCACCCTGGATCTTGACGATGCTTTTCTCGTTCTACGAAAAACGTTTAATATATGATCTATGATACAGTATTATCAGATCAAGTGGGGAATTTTTATATTATATATGTATATATATACTGTATATATATTAAGTTTTTGTATATTTTCATTTCAGAATGTATATTTTTTGATTTTCATATAAATTTTATCTGTTGTGTCTTAACAGCACTGATGTATTTAAATATTTATATAATATTATTGTGTAGCCTATCCCGTAAACACTCCCTCAATAATTAAACACATTTCCACCCTTTTCTTGGGGTTGGAACTGTAACTGTACATGAATTATGTATATAATTCTATGTACTGTTCATAAAATAAATTTTAATGTACATGAAAATAAAATTAATTTATAATTTGGAAAAAATGTTTTTTATTTGTTTGAATTAACGTTGTCGATAGTCCGTAGTTGTTCTATTGTCTAATGGTAAAGAATGGATTGAAAAATAAGGTTACCATTACAATAAACGTATACATTACAATTATATTATTAGGAGAACGCGAGTCTCTCAGTGTAGGACAAACTCATTGTGAGTTGAGCAGACCACACACTAGAACGTGAAGGGACGACGACGTTTCGGTCCGGCCTTGCTACCATTCTCAAGTCGATTGTATATTGTGAGGCTAGGTGACTGGTTTGATGAAAACTATCAATGTTCTCTTCCCATTGAGTGCTTTCGGGTATCAAAAGCACTCGCAAAGAGAAAGCACTCTAACCATTGCTATCTTAGCGAAGTATCCAAAATTTGCTTACTGTAGGGATGCATGCACACGACTGTAAAGCTGCCGCCCAGTTGGGTGGCAGCAAGACACCCGCAAACCCTGTGGGTGTGTGACTCACCATAGATGTATAGTGACTTGTGGGCCTCTTGTTGAATCATTTGTGATACAAAAGATTATTGATGTGTGTATTTGTGTAGGTGAATGATGTGTGTATTTGTGTAGGTGAATGATGTGTGTATTTGTGTAGGTGAATGATGTGTGTATTTGTGTAGGTGATTGATATGCGTGATTATAAGTGTATCAAAATGACCAGCAGTTTGATACATAAGACATACGTACATAGATGTACGTATGTACTTGTATATACTCATATATGTATGAGTATGTACATGTATATACAACATTGATAATTGTGTAACTAGTGTTAAAAATTGTTATTTGCTTAGCTAAACGAACTAGAGGGTTCAGTTCCTGAACCGATTAGGTGTAATCCTTCACACCATCGCCCACGGGATGCGTATGGGGAGCATAATAAAGAAAGAAATTGAGAAATTGATTATCAACAGCATAAAGGAAAGTCTGAAAAATTGACTTGAAAAAACTAGTACATAGTGTTAACTAGCAGGGAAACACAAATTAATGACATCGAAATAGGGAGTGAGCTAGGGAACTGTGATCACAAAGAAATCAGATTTAGCATAGAATGGAATAAACCTATAGGAGAATATTCTGTTAAAGTGCCAGATTTTCGAAAAGCTGACTTCAATAGCCTAAGAAGTTTTTTGGGTCAAATAGATTGGAAAGTATTGGGCATGGGATGTGGGCCAGTCTTGGAGGGGGACATGAACCCAGCGATAGGTGACGTAAAGGAGGATTTCGATGTGTATTCAAAATATAACTTATTTAAGAATATTCTAAGCAAATCACAGGAACGCAGTATACCATACAAATTCAATAGATCGAATAATGGTCCAAAGTGGATAACAAAGGATCTGAAGAACCTTGTAGGTAAAAAGACACCGTGGTATAAAAGGATTTAAAATGGGGAAGTCAGTTTAGAACAAGAATTCGCACAACTGGTTAGAAATGTTATAAAAGAGATAAAGAAAGCAAAAAGAAACTATGAAGTTCGCATAGCAGGGCAAGGGAAGACAAATGCTAAAGGTTTTTTTCAGTTATATCAAACTAAGACTAGGGAAAGGATAGGTCCATTAAAACTGAGACAGGTCAAATAACGAATAATGACGAGATGAGTAGAATTTATAATAAATATTTTATATCTGTATTTACTAAAAAGGAACTTAACAATATGCCGAACAAGTCTATATGGGTGGGGACGAGGACAGGTTAACTAGTTTAGCAGTTACCAGGGAGGATGTAATTAAACAAATAGTAAAACTAAAACTGAACAAATCCCCAGGGCCGGATGAAGTGTTTGCCTGGGTGCTTAAAGAATGCAAAGAGGAGCTTTCCGAGTCACTGTCTACCACATTTAACAAATCAATAGAGTTAGGCAGAGTGCCAGAGCCATGGAAGGTAGCTAATGAGGTACTAATTTTTAAGAAAGAAGATAGATCACTTTCCTTCAAACTATCGGCCAATTAGCCTAACGTCTATTGTGGGAAAGTTACTTGCATCGATAATTGTAAATACAATTCGTCTTCATCTTGAAAAACATAAATTAATAAATGAGTCGCAACATGGTTTTACAAATGGCTGTTCATGTTTAATAAATTTGCTATCTTTTTATTCCAGTATAGTTGAGACAGTTGATAGTTTTAAGGATTGTTATGTTTTGTACCTTGACTCTAGAAAAGCATTTGATACAGTGCCACATGAAAGACTGATTAAAAAAAATAGAGGCTCATGGTATTGGGGTGCTATAATAAAGTTGGATTAGGGCATGGCTATTCCAAAGGAAACAGAGTTAGTATAAATGGGGTTAAGTCAGAGTGGGATAATGTTGTTAGTGGTCAGAGCCTCAAGGCTCTGTCCTGGGACCTCTGTTGTTTATAATAAGAACAAAGGTAACTGCAGAAGGCCTATTGACCCATACGAGGCAGCTCCTATCTATAACCACCCAATCCCACTCATATACTTGTCCAACCCGCGCTTGAAACAATTGAGGAACCCCACCTCCACCACGTTACGCGGAAATTGGTTCCACAAATCAACAACCCTGTTACCGAACCAGTATTTACCCAAGTCTTTCCTAAATCTAAACTTATCCAATTTATACCCATTGTTTGGTATTGTCTTGTGTTGATACTTTTAATACCCTAATATATATATAAATGATTTAATTTCAAGTTTGAGTAGCAACATCTGCAAATTTGCAGATGATACAGAAATCGGTAGGGAAATTAACACGGAAGAAGACTCACTATCACTTCATGTTGATCTAAATAAGGATTTCAAATGGTCAAAAGATTGGCAGATGCAGTTTAATGCTGATAAATGTAAAGTTCTGAGGCTAGGTAATGATGGAGTTACAAGATACGAACTAGATGGTGTTGAGATTGCGAAAGGGATCTGGGAGTTATGATTAGTAAGAATTTAAAACAAAAGGATCAATGCATGAATGTTCGTAATAAGGCAAATAAGACACTGGGATTTATTAATCGAAGCGTTAGTAACAAGACACCTGGTGTGGTTCTTAAGCTATATCTTGCTCTGGTTAGTCCCCATTTAGATTATGCAGTTCAGTTTTGGTCGCCGTATTATAGAATGGATATAAATTCACTTGAATTGTCCAACGTAGGATGACTAAGTTAATTCCCCAAATTAGAAATCTTTCATATGAAGAAAGACTAGCAAAGCTTAAGTTGCATTCACTGGAAAGGCGAAGAGTTAGGGGTGACATGATAGAGGTTTACAAGTAGATGAATGGACATAACAAAGGGGATATTAATAGGGTATTAAAAGTATCAACACAAGACAGAACACGAAACAATTGGTATAAATTGGATAAGTTTAGATTTAGGAAAGTCTTGCGTAAATACTGGTTCGGTAACATGGTTGTTGATTTGTGGAACCAATTACCGTGTAACGTGGTGGTGGGGTCCCTCGATTGTTTCAAGCGTGGGTTGGACATGTTTATGAGTGGGATTGGGTGGTTATAGATAATATCTGCTTCGTATAGGCCAATAGTCCTTCTGCAGTTACCTTTGTTCTTATGTTCTCCCGTGTTAATTTCCCTACCGATTTTCGTATCATCGGCAAATTTGCAAATGTTGCTACTTAAACCTGAATCTGAATCATTTATATATATTAGAAACAACAGAGGCCCCAAGACAGAGCCTTGAGGCACTCCACTTACAATATTTTCCCACTCTGACTCAACCCCATTTATACTAACTCTGTTTCCTACATCCGGGTAATTTTTCGTTACCTCAGCATCTGATTCCCCTAATTTTCCAATGACATCACCAGTCATCATCCTCAATAACTCTGTTTTTCCGTGATAACATATTTAACCCCATTTTCATATTTATTCCCACTTTCGATATTAAACTAAAAGGATGAAAGAACCGCCTTCTATCAACCCTAATATGCAATGACATAAGAACCTTAGATTGAAGGTAACTGTACAAGACCCATACGAAGCAGGTACTATTTATATCCACCCAATCACATTCATATATGTCTAACCTATGCTTGAAACAATCAATGGATCCTACTTCTATTATGTTACGCGCTAATTGAATCCACAAATCAACAACCCAGTTACCAAACCAGTATTTATCCAATGTCTTTCCTAGACCTAAACTTATTTAATTTATACCCATTGTTTCGTGTTCTGTCTTGTGTTGATACTTTTAATATCGTATTACTATCCCCCTTTGTTAAGAACATAAGAACAAAGGCAACTGCAGAAGGCCCACACGAGGTAGCTCCCACTTACAACCACCCAATCCCACTTACATGCATGCCCAACCCACGCCTGAAACAATCGAGCCGGGAAGTTGCAACGTGGCGCCAAAATCCCGCAACAATAACACGCAAGCGTTATAAAGACTCGCGCTCATATATACAACCTCAAACGGCAGCAAACGGTTTTACGGACTCACCATAGCCCGTGCTACTTTGGAACGTTTTGTTCCGAGTAGCTGAATCTAAAACAACAACAACAACAGGCAGCAATCAGTCAGTAGAGGCCAGGACGTCGTGTCGTAAACCCGTGACCTGTTTCAACACCACACCAACGAAACACTACATATACGCCCGCAACGGCAGCAGTCAGTCAGTAGAGACCAGAACATCGTCTCGTGAACACTGGTCTGTTGCAACACTAACGAACCACAACATTTTACGTTATACATATTGTGCATTTTACATTCTACGCCCCAAGTTGTTTTATGGGTGAACCGGTGAAATCTTTTCAAATAATTTAAAGTGCGAGAAAAAACACCCGCTCCTTCTTCCCTAAATATCTGTATTTGATTCAGATAAAAACTAAAATGACGAATTTGAAATATTTGATGCTGCACTTGGCCGCTGTGATTGTGTGCGGCCAGGAAGTTATACCTGACACGTCGAACATCTGTTTCCTTCCTCCAACTACGGGATTCTGCCGGGCTCACTTTACCTCCTTCTTCTACAACCCGGAGACACATGCTTGCGACTGCTTCGTGTACGGCGGATGTAAGGGCAACGAGAACAGATTCGACACTCTGGATGAGTGCATGAGAACTTGCAACGTCTTACCTAGTCTGCAGGAAAATATTGTCGAGTGTGACAAAGTCTTTAGACACTTCAACCCGCTGGCGAACAAAGAGGTGTTGGACGCTATCAAGGACTCTGTAAGGCCGACGCAGATACCACAGGATCCCACAGACCCTTCATACATACAGCCAGCGCAACAAATCCTTCAACCTGCACCACAAACCATCCAACCAGCGCCACAAACCTTACAGTCGCTTCTACAACTAAAGAAAGCGCTACCAACTCAACAACGTGTGCCACTGACTCAGCAACCTTTACCGTAAGGCGAGCGGGTTCCAGCGGGCATGTGGAGAGACAGCTGGTTCAGGAGGATACGGAGCCTGGTATTGGATGACTCAGGTTCTAGGGTTGGCTCTCTCTACGTCGGTCAGCCGGCCTTCTTCACCCTGGATAATGACGATGCTTTTCTCGTTCTACGAAAAACGTTTAATATATGATCTAGGATACAGTATTATTAGATCAAGTGGGGAATTTTTATATTATATATGTATATATATACTGTATATATATTAAGTTTTTGTATATTTTCATTTCAGAATGTATATTTTTTTATTTTCATATAAATTTTATCTGTTATTTTCATATAAATTTTATCTTAACAGCATTGACGTATTTAAATATTTATATAATATTATTGTGTAGCCTATCCCGTAAACACTTCCTCAATAATTAAACACATTTCCACCCTTTTCTTGGGGTTGGAACTCTAACTGTACATGAATTATGTATATAATTCTATGTACTGTTCATAAAATAAATTTTAATGTACATGAAAATAAAATTAATTTATAATTTGGAAAAAATGTTTTTTATTTGTTTGAATTAACGTTGTCGATAGTCCGTAGTTGTTATATTGTCTAACGGTGAAGAATGGATTGAAAAATGAGGTTACCATTACAATAAACGAATACATTACAATTATATTATTAGGAGAACGCGAGTCTCAGTGTACGACCACACTACAACGTGAAGGGACGACGTCGTTTCGGTCCGGCCTTGCTACGATTCTCAAGTCGATTGTATATTGTGAGGCTAGCGTTCTCCTTAATAGGTGACTGATTTGTTGAAAACTATCGGTGTTCTCTTCTCATTGAGTGCTTTCGGGTATTCGAAGCACTCTAACCATTGCTATCTTAGCGAAGTATCTAAAATTTGCTTACTGTAGGGATGCATGCACACGACTGTAAAGCTGCCGCCCAGTTGGGTGGCAGCAAGACACCCGCAAACCCTGTGGGTGTGTGACTCACCATAGATGTATAGTGACTTGTGAGCCTCTTGTTGAATCATTTGTGATACAAAAGATTATTGATGTGTGTATTTGTGTAGGTGAATGATGTGTGTATTTGTGTAGGTGAATGATGTGTGTATTTATGTAGGTGAATGATGTGTGTATTTGTGTAGGTGATTGATATGCGTGATTATAAGTGTATCAAAATGACCAGCAGTTTGATACATAAGACATACGTACATAGATGTACGTATGTACTTGTATATACTCATATATGTATGAGTATGTACATGTATATACAACATTGATAATTGTGTAACTAGCGTTAAAAATTGTTATTTGCTTAGCTAAACGAACTAGAGGGTTCAGTTCCTGAACCGATTAGGTGTAATCCTTCACACCATCGCCCACGGGATGCGTATGGGGAGCATAATAAAGAAAGAAATTGATTATCAACAGCATAAAGGAAAGTCTGAAAAATTGACTTGAAAAAACTAATACATAGTGTTAACTAGCAGGGAAACACAAATTAATGACATCGAAATAGGGAGTGAGCTAGGGAACTGTGATCACAAAGAAATCAGATTTAGCATAGAATGGAATAAACCTATAGGAGAATATTCTGTTAAAGTGCCAGATTTTCGAAAAGCTGACTTCAATAGCCTAAGAAGTTTTTTGGGTCAAATAGATTGGAAAGTATTGGGCATGGGATGTGGGCCAGTCTTGGAGGGGGACATGAACCCAGCGATAGGTGACGTAAAGGAGGATTTCGATGTGTATTCAAAATATAACTTATTTAAGAATATTCTAAGCAAATCACAGGAACGCAGTATACCATACAAATTCAATAGATCGAATAATGGTCCAAAGTGGATAACAAAGGATCTGAAGAACCTTATAGGTAAAAAGACACCGTGGTATAAAAGGATTTAAAATGGGGAAGTCAGTTTAGAACAAGAATTCGCACAACTGGTTAGAAATGTTATAAAAGAGATAAAGAAAGCAAAAAGAAACTATGAAGTTCGCATAGCAGGGCAAGGGAAGACAAATGCTAAAGGTTTTTTTCAGTTATATCAAACTAAGACTAGGGAAGGGATAGGTCCATTAAAACTGAGACAGGTCAAATAACGAATAATGACGAGATGAGTAGAATTTATAATAAATATTTTATATCTGTATTTACTAAAAAGGAACTTGACAATATGCCGAACAAGTCTATATGGGTGGGGACGAGGACAGGTTAACTAGTTTAGCAGTTACCAGGGAGGATGTAATTAAACAAATAGTAAAACTAAAACTGAACAAATCCCCAGGGCCGGATGAAGTGTTTGTCAAGGTGCTTAAAGAATGCAAAGAGGAGCTTTCCGAGCCACTGTCTACCACATTTAACAAATCAATAGAGTTAGGCAGAGTGCCAGAGCCATGGAAGGTAGCTAATGAGGTATTAATTTTTAAGAAAGGAGATAGATCACTTTCCTTCAAACTATCGGCCAATTAGCCTAACGTCTATTATAGGAAAGTTACTTGAATCGATAATTGCAAATACAATTCGTCTTCATCTTGAAAAACATAAATTAATAAATGAGTCGCAACATGGGTTTACAAATGGCCGTTCATGTTTAATAAATTTGCTATCTTTTTATTCCAGTATAGTTGAGGCAGTTGATAGTGGTAAGGATTGTTATGTTTTGTATTTTGACTTTAGAAAAGCATTTGATACAGTGCCACATAAAAGACTGATTAAAAAAATAGAGGCTCATGGTATTGGGGGTGCTATAATAAAGTTGGATTAGGGCATGGCTATTCCAAAGGAAACAGAGTTAGTATAAATGAGGTTAAGTCAGAGTGGGATAATGTTGTTAGTGGTCAGAGCCTCAAGGCTCTGTCCTGGGACCTCTGTTGTTTATAATAAGAACAAAGGTAACTGTACATGTTAAAGTTGGATTAGGGCATGGCTATTCCAAAGGAAACAGAGTTAGTATAAATGAGGTTAAGTCAGAGTGGGATAATGTTGTTAGTGGTGAGAGCCTCAAGGCTCTGTCCTGGGACCTCTGTTGTTTATAATAAGAACAAAGGTAACTGCAGAAGGCCTATTGACCCATACGAGGCAGCTCCTATCTATAACCACCCAATCCCACTCATATACTTGTCCAATCCGCGCTTGAAACAATTGAGGAACCCCACCTCCACCACGTTACGCGGTAATTGGTTCCACAAATCAACAACCCTGTTACCGAACCAGTATTTACCCAAGTCTTTCCTAAATCTAAACTTATTCAATTTATACCCATTGTTTCGTGTTCTGTCTTGTGTTGATACTTTTAATACCCTAATATATATATATATAAATGATTTAATTTCAAGTTTGAGTAGCAACATCTGCAAATTTGCAGATGATACAGAAATCGGTAGGGAAATTAACACGGAAGAAGACTCACTATCACTTCACTATCACTATTTAATGCTGATAAATGTAAAGTTCTGAGGTTAGGTGGTGATGATAGAGTTACAAGATACGAGCTAGATGTTGTTGTGATTGCGAAGTCGGATTGCGAAAGGGATCTGGGAGTTATGATTAGTAAGAATTTAAAACAAAAGGATCAATGCATAAATGTTCGTAATAAGGCAAATCGGACACTTGGATTTATTAATCGCAGCGTTAGTAACAAGACACCTGGTGTGGTTCTCAAGCTATATCTTGCTCTAGTTAGGCCCCATTTAGATTATGCAGTTCAGTTTTGGTCGCCATATTATAGAATGGATATAAATTCACTTGAACGTGTCCAGCGTAGGATGACTAAGTTAATTCCCCAAATTAGAAATCTTTCATATGAAGAAAGATTAACAAAGCTTAAGTTGCATTCACTGGAAAGGCGAAGAGTTAGGGGTGACATGATAGAGGTTTACAAGTGGATGAATGGACATAACCGGGGGGATATTAATAGGGTATTAAAAGTATCAACACAGGACAGAACACGAAACAATGGGTATAAATTGGATAAGTTTAGATTTAGGAAAGTCTTGGGTAAATACTGGTTCGGTAACATGGTTGTTGATTTGTGGAACCAATTACTGTGTAACGTGGTGGTGGGGTCCCTCGATTGTTTCAAGCGTGGGTTGGACATGTTTATGAGTGGGATTGGGTGGTTATAGATAATAGCTGCCTCGTATAGGCCAATAGTCCTTCTGCAGTTACCTTTGTTCTTATGTTCTCCCGTGTTAATTTCCCTACCGATTTTTGTATCATCGGCAAATTTGCAAATGTTGCTACTTAAACCTGAATCTGAATCATTTATATATATTAGAAACAACAGAGGTCCCAAGACAGAGCCTTGAGGCACTCCACTTACAATATTTTCCCACTCTGACTCAACCCCATTCATACTAAGTCTGTTTCCTACATCCGGGTAATTTTTCGTTACCTCAGCATCTGATTCCTCTAATTTTCCAATGACATCACCAGCCATCTTCCTCAATAACTCTGTTTTTTCCGTGATATCATATTTAACCCCATTTCCATATTTATTCCCACTTTCGATATTAAACTAAAAGGATTAAAGAACCGCCTTCTATCAACCCTAATATGCAATGACATAAGAACATTAGATTGAAGGTAACTGTACAAGACCCATACGAAGCAGGTACTATTTATATCCACCCAATCACATTCATATATGTCTAACCTATGCTTGAAACAATCAATGGATCCTACTTCTATTATGTTACGCGGTAATTGAATCCACAAATCAACAACCCAGTTACCAAACAAGTATTTATCCAATGTCTTTGCTAGACCTAAACTTATTTAATTTATACCCATAGTTTCGTGTTCTGTCTTGTGTTGATACTTTTAATATCGTATTAATATCCCCCTTTGTTAAGAACATAAGAACAAAGGCAACTGCAGAAGGCCCACACGAGGTAGCTCCCACTTACAACTACCCAATCCCACTTACATACATGCCCAACCCACGCCTGAAACAATCGAGCCGGGAAGTTGCAACGTGGCGCCAAAATCCCGGAACGAAAACACGCAAGCGTTATAAAGACTCGCGCTCATATATACAACCTCAAACGGCAGCAAACGGTTTTACGGGCTCACCATAGCCCGTGCTACTTTGGAACGTTTTGTTCCGAGTAGCTGAATCTAAAACAACAACAACAACAGGCAGCAATCAGTCAGTAGAGGCCAGGACGTCGTGTCGTAAACCCGTGACCTGTTTCAACACCACACCAACGAAACACTACATATACGCCCGCAACGGCAGCAGTCAGTCAGTAGAGACCAGAACATCGTCTCGTGAACACTGGTCTGTTGCAACACTAACGAACCACAACATTTTACGTTATACATATTGTGCATTTTACATTCTACGCCCCAAGTTGTTTTATGGGTGAACCGGTCAAATCTTTTCAAATAATTTAAAGTGCGAAAAAAAACACCCGCTCCCTCTTCCTTAAATATCTGTATTTGATTCAGATAAAAACGAAAATGACGAATTTGAAATATTTGATGCTGCACTTGG